ATTCACAACTGAATTCTATCAAGCATTCAAAGAAGATTTGGTACCAAGTCTACTGACACTATTTCAAAAGATAGAGAAAGAGGGAATCCTCCTTAAATCGTTCTATGAAGCTAATATCAACTTAATATCAAAACCAGGAAATGACATAACAACAACAACAAAAAAGAAAACTACAGACCAATATCTCTGATGAATGTAGATGCAAAAACCCTCAACAAAATACTAGCTAACAGAATCCAATGGCATATCAGAAAGATAATCTACCATGATCAAGTGGGTTTCATACCAGGGATGCAGGGATGGTTTATCATATGCAAGTCAATAAATATAATATACTACATAACAGATTTAAAAACAAAAATCACATGATCATCTAAATAGATGCAGAAAAAGCATTTGACAAAATCCAGCATCCTTTATGATTAAAACCCTCAGCAAAATTGGCATAGAAGGATCATACCTTAAGGTAATAAAAGCCATCTATGACAATCCCACAGTCAACATTATACTTTACAAGGAAAATTGAAAGCATTCCCCCTGAGAACTGGAATGAGAAAAGGATGCCCATTTTCACCACTCTTATTCAACATAGTACTAGAAGTCCTAACCAGAGCAATCAGACAAAAGAAATAAATAAAGGACATCCAAATCAGTAAAGAGGAAGTCAAATTGTCACTGTTTCCCAACGATATGACTGAATACCTAGAAAAATCTACAGACTCATTTAAAAAGCTCCTAGAACTGATAAATGAATTCAGTAAAGTTTCAGGATACAAAATTAATGTACACAAATCAGTAGCTCTGCCATACACCAACAGCAACCAAGCTGAGAATCAAATAAGAACTCAGCCCCTTTTACAATAGCTGCAAAAAATAAAATAAAATACTTAGAAATATGCTTAACCAGGAGGTGAAAGACCTCTACAAGGAAAACGACAACACACTGCTGAAAGAAATAATAGATATCACAAGCAAATTGAAACACATATTATGCTCATGTAGGGTAGAATCAATACTGTGAAAATGATGATACTGCCAAAAGCAATCTACAAATTCAATACAATTCTCATAAAAATGGCACCATCATTCTTCACAAACTAGAAAAAACAATCCTAAAATTCGTATGGAACCCACGAAAAGCTCACACAACCAAAGCAAAACTAAGCAAAAAGAACATTTCTAGAGGCATCATATTACCTGACTTCAAACTATACTATACGGTTATAGTCATCAAAACCACAAGGTCCTGGCATAAAAATAGACACATAGATCAATGGAACAGAATAAAGAACAGAAATAAAGGCAAATACTTACAGCCAACTGATCTTTGACAAAGTAAATGAAAACATAAAGTGGGGAAAGGACACCCTATTCAACAAACGGTGCTGGGATAATTGGCAAGCCACATGTAGCAGAATGAAACTGAATCCTTATCTCTCACCTTATACAAAAACCAATTCAAGATGGATCAAAGACTTAAATCTAAGACCTGAAAGCATAAAATTCTGGAAGACAATATTGGAAAAACCCTTCTAGACATTGGCTTAGATAAAGGTTTCACAACCAAAAACTCAAAAGAAAATGCAACAAAAACAAAGATAAATAGATGGGACTTAATTAAACTAAAAAGCTTCTGCACAGCAAAAGAAATCATCAGCAGAATAAACAGACAGCCCACAGAGTGGGAGAAAATCTTCACAAACGATGCATCCAACAAAGGACTAAATATTCAGAATCTACAAGGAACTCAAACAAATCAGCAACAAAAAAACAAACAATCCCTTCAAAAAGTGAGCTAAGGACATGAATAGACAATTCTCAAAAGAAAATATACAAATGGCCAACAAACATAAAAAAAAGGTCAACATTACTAATTACCAGGGAAATGCAAATCAAAACCACAATGCGATGCCACCTTACTCCTGTAAGGATGGCCATAATCAAAAAATAAAAAATAATAGATGTTAATATGGATGTAGTGAAAAGGGAACACTTTTACACTGCTGGTGGAAATGTAAACTAGTACAACCACCAGGGAAAACAGTATGGAGATTCCTTAACAAACTAAAACTAGATCTACCATTTGATCCAGCAATCCCACTACTGAGTACCTACCCAGAGGAAAATAAGTATTTATACCAAAAAGATACTTGCACATGCATGTTTACAACAGCACAATTTGCAATTGCAAAAATATGGAACCAGCCTAAATGCCCATCAGTCGATGAGTGGATAAAGAAAATGTGGTACATATGTATCATGGTATACTACTCAGCCGTAAATAGAAATGAAATCATAGCATTCACAGAAACCTGGATAGAGTTGGAGACCATCATTCTAAGTGAAATAACTCAGGAATTGAAAACCAAACATCATATTTTCTCACTCATAAGTGAAAGCTAAGCTATGAAGACACAAAGTCATAAAAATGGTACAACGGATTTTGGAGACTCATAGGAAAAGGTGTGAGGGATGAGGAATAAAAGACTACACATTGGGTGCAGTGTACACTGCTTGGGTACACCAAAATCTCAGAAATCACTACTAAAGAACTTACACATGTAACCAAACACCATCTGTTTCCCCAAAACCTGTTGAAATTTTTAAAAATACCAAAAAATTCATATGTGGTCATCTGGAAAAGTATTTTTGATCTAAGAATAAAAATGCAATAGCATGTCTAATATAATTCGTTATGTAACACCAAGAGTTTATATATGTATATATCTGATGAATGTATGTATTTGCATGTAAAATATCTGAATCAACAACAAAATATTGTTCCATTGTCCACTAGCTTCCATTATTTTGATTAAAAAGAGATTTACCATTCTCATTATTGCTTCCTAGAAGGAAATGTGTCACTTTATTTCTGTCCTAGGAGATTTATGATTTTCTCTTTGTGCTTTTCAGCAGTTTTAGCTTAATGTTTTTCTACATTTATACTCCCTGAAGTTGACCAGGGTTTTAAAACTATGATGTGCTATCTTTAATCAGCTTTGGAAAATTCCCAGCTATTATCTTTTTGAATACTCTTCGGCCATTTTTCTCCATCTTTTTTTTCTGGGACTCCCATTATATATACATTAAACTTTTTCCATGTGATTCATGTTTCTTATGCTGTCTGATTTTTTAAATTTTTTTAACTCTGTGCTATTTGGATGCTTTCTATTATGCTGTCAACTTACTGATCATGACTTCTGAAATGCACATTCTGATAGTCAGATATTGTATTTTCAGTTCTAAAATGTCCATTTCGTTTTATACATTGTAATTATCTAGTAAAAAATCCATCCTTTTATTAATCTTATCTCTCCTCCTATTTTCTTGAACATATTAATCACACTTAAAATCTTTATATGTTAATGCTAATGTCTGGATCATTTATGGATCTACAATTATCGACCTCTTTTATTCCTGTTTATTGGTCATATGTTCATGCTTACTGACCTTTTTAGGTTTTGTTTTGGTTTTGGTTTTGCACCAGAAATTGTTTTCAAAGGACTTTACAGGCTTTAGATGTTATCTTTCACCAGGGTGAATGCCCCCATTTTCAAGTTTGGCCAAGAGAGTGAAAGTATGATCACCTCAATTTGGTACAGATAGTACAGACTGCAGTGGGTATTGTTTTACGGTTTTAGTAAGCCTTATTTATGCTTTGTCTCTCTAGGTCATGGATTTCTTAAGATTTTGAGAATAAGGATAGTTGGTCTTACTCTTCTCAAATCTAAAAGACTACTAAAGATCCACCTTTTTTCCTGTAGCACTTCCTAACCTGCTATTTAATTTTCCAGTCCTAGATGGCTTCAAAAATGTCTTGAGGGCGATACAAGTCTACCCATGAAGGCAGACGCAGATCCTTTTCTCTAGTGAGTTTTTATTTAATATATGGGACTTTAGAAATTATTATCTAATTTTTGCTTTATCTTAGAGATGGGGTCTCCCTCTGTTCCGCAGGCTGGTCTCAAACTCCTGGGCTCACGCAACCCTCCCACCTCTGCCTCCCAAAGTGCTAGGATTACAGGCTTGAGTCACCATGTTTGGCCTATTTTTTAAAGCTTTTTGGCGTAGCACCCTAACATTTTACACAGATCTGACTGTTATGCAGTAAAGTGTATTTTTATCATGATCTTTTTTTTCAAAACAGAGATAGTGAAGTTTCCATGTTAAATATAAATTTATTTAAACAGAACAATTAAATAATTGTTTCAAAAATGTACGAGTGGTGAAAAGTGTAAAGATGATAGGTCAAGGACTCAAATTGTGTTCACTGCTCTAGAGGGCATTCTGTGAGAGCACAGATTTTCAGATTTTTAATCCAGCATTGTGGGATTAGAAAATATATACTAATTCTTTTTGTTTGTTCCATAGCAACTTTTCACTAAGATTATCTAGTATAAACCAGCATATCCCATTTTATTCTAGGGAAGTATAATAGTAATAGTATTTGACGTTGACTTGATGGTAGAGAATCATGACCAAAGAAAATGTTGCATGCTACAAATAAAATTGAAAAAGTGTTTCTCTGTTTTTGATCTCTGTGAGTCAAGTAACGATTTCTTAGATGACTATTCTAATATTTTCTCAGGGAAGACATTATAATTCACAACATGTATGTCCCTTCCATAGTTCTACCTTAAGGTAAAAGCATCCTAAAAGAACAGTATATTTGGTGATATAGCTAGTTATTTCACTTAAATGTATAATTAGCATATCTTTTCTTTAGTCACCTGATGTTATAATTTGATACAATCAAATTAAAAACATGAATAAAATGTTGATCCTGTTTTTTTCACAAAGACTTTAACTTTTTGGTAGATTTACAGAGGGAGACATCAATTACAGATTAAATATCACACTGATTACAAAAAGAACAAATTATTCTATAAAACAAATGAATTATCCTTTGAATTAAAATTCTACAGCCACTAAAGTCATTTTAGGTAAGATCTATTTAGTGATTTTACATTATTAAATTTTATCAGAATCACACAGTTTACCTTTGATTGATAAAACTCGAAGTGTGTATCTTGGAACTTTGGTGGAAAATATCTTCTTCCGAAGAGATGTGCCAGTACTAACATTAGCTTTTCCATAACGTCTTGAGAAAAATGTTTTGAGCCTATACAAAACGAAGTGTCTTCTTGTAAATATGAAAGGGTATAATTCTATTTTTTCATGTTTAAATGGAATGTCATATTACATTTAATTTTATGGAAACTAAAAATCTATGACAAATATAGCAATTGAAGAATTACCATACATCTGCTAACGGTTTTTATCTGTGCCTTCTTTTTCATCCTTGCTACCTATACCCTAATTTAGATCCTAATCATCCCACACAAATTGCCTTATTTCCTTACCTAGATTTCCTCACTTCAGTCTATCTTCGTGATTTTAAGAACACCATACAGATTTAGTGTTTAAATGTAAAAATCAAAGGATTTTAATAAAAAATGTATTAAATAAAATGTATTTAAAAGTTTACTCAATATGGATAAAATTGTGGTATTTTTAGGGGAAAATATGATTCTAAATTACACTATTAATATAATGTCAGCTATTTAGGTATACTACACAATAATATTCAAAGAAAATATGATTGGAAGAAAATATTCACAAACATTAATAGTGATTACCTGTGGATAGTGTAACTATGAGTAATTTTTTCTTTTTAACTTAATGCTTTCCTATATCCTTTTCCTATGATGAATATATATTATATTTAATTAGAAGAAAATATTTTCTAAAAATTGTATATTATTTAATATGTCATTAATCCTGGCAGCAAGGAATCACTGAAGTTAATACTTTGGAGGTGTTGACATTGTAAATACATGTCATAAAATATGGCTGACTATCATTTAATATATATTAGTAGGTATTTACTTTATCAATTGAAGAGCTATAAATTATATACATATTAATTGTATTTTCTTTACTAAAAATATTCCTGAAGTGTTGGTTGTCTACAAATCTGTTGCTATTTTTGGACTCTCTCTCTACATATATATATAAAATCTCAAGCTTACCTTTACTGGTTGGCTGACAGAGATCATGGAAAAGGCCATTTACAAGAAAACTGACAAAAACAAGATTAGAAGGTTCATGGTAATGCAAATGTGATACAAGTCCAGCAAACCCCATTGGATTACCTTCTTGATCTAAATAGCCCTAAAGAACAAAAAACAATTTATTAGTTTGACTCAAGTTGCCACATAATAAGTAACTTATTAAGTATCAGTTTAAAATAGTATTTAATGCCAATATAAGAAATATTTATAACTATTACTGGGCCCAACTTTTATAATTATACCATTTATAAGTAATGTCAATCATTGGATAGAACCTTCTAAAAGCTACAATTAGTTCAGCATGGTAAGAAATCTAGATAGTAGTAATGCTATTCCCCCTGCCCCAAAAAAAGTGCAGTAATGCATACCTCTTTCACCAAGAACTGCAAAGAAAACAAGAAGTAAAGTTTTAACATGTCCATGATTCTGGGTTGCTTGAAGGACAGCAATGAATGCTTTAGCACTGATAGCACCTTTAAAGAAAAGAGTACTTTTAGACACACAATGTTAAGTGTTACAAAATACATTTGAAAATGATAATAAATGATAGATCAATATCTATTATACCACACAGACATTAGAAATGCATCAGATAAATTTTAATTTCATACTATTTTATAGTGTTACATGGCAACTTTTTTTTTTTAACAAAATAGAGCACATAAACTGAATTGTCAGAAATGAAACATATTGCCAAAGAATCTGATTATGAAAGCCATTCCAGTTCAGGAGCTTATAGCTTTTAAATTGTTCTAGAAGTAAAAAGATATATTATCCCATGTTCTGCAGTATTATTACAAAAAATCATGTAACTAGGTTGATTTCAACCAATGTTATAAAAATATTGCTTGCTTTCCAGCATAAAACTGCATTAAAGTACATATATCTTTCAACTTCCCACTAAAATGTCTATGAAATTCCAAAAAAAAAAAAAATCCCAGTATCGCCAAAATGGAAACTTAGCTGTCTTTAGGCCTGAGGGTTTACAGAACCTAGAAAGAATCTCTACTTACTATAAGGCTAATGGTCTAGGAGGAGGGAGGGAAGGAAAAAAGGAAAAAAGGAAGAAGGGAAGGAAGGAAGGAAGGAAGGAAGGAAGGAAGGAAGGAAGGAAGGAAGGAAGGAAGGCAGGAAGGAAGGAAGGCAGGCAGGCAGGCAGAGAGGGAAAGAAGGAGAGAAGGGAAGAGGAAGGGAAGAGAGAGAAAAGGAAGAAGAGAGAGAAAAGGAAGAAGAGAGAAAGGGAGAAAGAGTGGAAGGGTGGAAGAAGGGAGTGCACTTTCCATCTCCTTACTGTGGGATGATACTTTTTGAGGGCACCATATATGGCATATTTGCAACCTCTTCTCTCTCATATGCCACTTTTAGTCAGAGATGGCAAGAGTCAGAAAACAGCATAGTGAGGAATCAGGGTTTCATGGTGGTTCACTATAACCACAGAAGTACAGACCTCATATTAAAGTCATACTAAGATGATAAGAATCCTGATGGCATTGCATACTATAGTTTATTGTGACTAATGTCATCCAGATAATCAATGTGTAATAAGACTAGCAGAAGTAGAACATGACCTTTCAATTCAGAAAACTACATAGATGAAGATCTGCTAAACACTGATATTTGGGCCAAAAACTATTCATCCAGCTCAGATCTGAAAGAGTATTTGATTAATATGTAGGTGGATAGAGTGAATCCAGAAGAAATTTCATACATCCTATTGCTTGGTAAACCATCAGATTTGGATAGATGTATCCAAAGTGATAAAATAGAAACACCACAATAGACCAATTCTTCTTAAGAAAAATTTACCATCTTTTTAAAATTATGGTCATGCTATAAATATTTATTGAATGTCCACATCAGAAAATCAGACAGACATACATTATTGTCCTTGGAGTGCTTATATTCTAGTGGGAAATATAGATAAAATACATAAAAACATGATAGAGATAGGAAGATAGAAAGACAGATGATAGGTAGGTAGATAGATGATTGATAGATGTAGATAGATGGATAGAAAGATAAATGATAGAATGATACATGATAGATAGAAAGTTAGATAGCAGATAGAAGATGGATGATTGATAGATAGATTAGATAGATAGATAGATAGATAGATAGATAGATAGATAGATAGATAGATAGATAGATAGATAGATAGATAGATAGAGATAGGTAGGTAGAGGTAGGTAGATGGATAGAAATATAGATGATAAACATAAAGATAGATCAATGTAGATAGATACATAGATAATTTGATGCTATATAGGAAGTGATGAGAACTCTATTTAACTGAATAAGGAACACTGTCAATGCAGCAGACAGGGGAAACATTTACAGTTTAGAAGGCATGGTGAGGGTAGGCTTCACTATGTAATGTTACAGTAAAGAATTTAATGTGGTAAGAGAGTGAGGCCATGTACATGTCTCAGGGAAGATCTTAGAAGAAGAAGAAACAGTAAGAGCCATAGTCCTCAGACCGGAATGTGTCTGAGGTGCTCATGAAGCGGGTAGCTGGCCATGTGGAAGAGAAGAAGAAGTGACCTCTGCAAGCTGGTAAGAGATCATATACTACAGGACCTCATAGACTGTGACAAGGACATCTTTTCCTCTAAAGAAAAGATCTGACATATGAAAATTGTTTTCTATATGCAGCAAAAAAGAAAAAGTTGTCTTGAAAAATTATTTGTATGCCCTCTCTCACCACTCTTACTGAACATAGTATTGAAAGTTCTGGCCAGGGCAATCAGGCAAGAGAAAGAAATAAACGATATTCAAAGAGGAAGACAGGAACTCAAATTGTCTTTGTTTGCAGATGACATGATCCTATATCTAGAAAATCCCATCATCTCAACCCAAAAGCTTCTTAAGCTGATAAGCAACTTCAGCAAAATCTCAGCATACAAAATCAATGTGCAAAAATCACAAGCATTTTACTATAAATCAACAACAAACAAGCAGAGAGCCAAATCACAAATGAACTCCCCTTCACAATTGCTACAAAGATAATATAATACCTAGGAATACAGCTAACAAGGGAAGTGAAGGACCTTTTCAAGAACTACAATCCACTTCTCAAGGATATCAGAGAGGACACAAACAAATGAAAAAACATTTCATGCTCATGGATAGAAAGAATCAATATTGTGAAAATGGCCATACTGCCCAGAGTAATTTATAGATTCCGTGCTATTCCCATTAAACTACCAGTGACATTCTACACAGAATTAGAAAGAAAACTATTTTAAAATTCATAGTGGAACCAAAAAAGAGCCCATACAGCCAAGACACTCCTAAGCAAAAAGAACAAAGCTGGAGGAATCATACTACCCAACTTCTATCTTTAATACAAGGCTACAGTAACCAAAACAGCATGGTACTGGTACCAAAACAGACACATAGACTATTGGAACAGAATAGAGAACTCAGAAACAAGACCACACATCTACAACTATCTGATCTTCGGCAAAAACAAGCAATGCAGAAAGGTTTCCTATTTAATAAACGATGATGGAAGACCTGGCTAGTCATATGCAGAAAATTGAACTGGACCCTATCCTTACACTTTATACAAAAATTAACTCAAGATGGATTAAAGACTTAAAGGTAAACCCCAAAACTATAAAAATTCTAGAAGACAACCTAACTAATACTATTCAGGACACAGGCATGGGCAAATATTTCATGATTGATGTGGTTTGGCTGTGTACCCACCCAAATCTCATCTTGAATTATAACTCCCACAATTCCCGCATGTCATGGAAGGAGCTCGGTGGGAGGTAATTGAATCATGGGGGCAAATCTTGCCCATGCAGTTCTCATAAAAGTGAATAAGTCTCATGAAATCTGATGGTTTTAAAAAGAGGAATTCCCCTGCAAAAACTTGCTCTCTCTTTGCCTGCTGCCATCCATTGTAAGACGTGACTTGCTCCTCCTTGCATTCTGACATTTTTATGAGACCTCCTCAGCCATGCAGAACTGTAAGTCCATTAAAACTTTTTTTTTTTTTTTTTTTTCTTGGGTATGTCTTTATCAGTAGTGGGAAAATGGACTAACATAGTAAATTGGTACCAGTAGAGTGGGGCGCTGCTGAAAAGATACCTGAAAATGTGAAAGTGACTTTGGAACTGGGTAACAGGCAGACATTGAAACAATTTGGAGGGCTTAAAAGAAGACAAAAAATGTGGGAAAGTTTGGAACTCCCTACAAACTTCTTGAATGGCTTTGACCAAAATGCTGATAATCATATGGACAATGAAATCCAGGCTGAGGTGGTCTCAGATGGAGATGAGGAACTTGTTGGGAACTGGAGCAAAGGTGAATTTTGTTATGTTTTAGAAAAAAGACAGGCAGCATTTTGCCTCTGCCTGAGAGATTTATGGAACTTTGAACTTGAGAGAGATGATTTAGGGTATCTTGCAGAAGAAATTTCTAAGCAGCAAGGCATTCAAGAGGTGACATGGGTGCTGTTAAAGGCATTCAATTTTATAAGGGAAGCAGAACATAAAAGTTCAGAAAATTTGCACCCTGACAATGCAATAGAAATGAAAATCCCATTTTCTGAGGAGAAATTCAAGCCAGCTGCAGAAATTTGCACAGGTAATGGGTAGCCAAACATTAATCACTAAGATAATGGGATGTCTCCAGGGCATGTCAGAGACCTTTGTGGCAGTCCCTTTCATCACAGGCCCAGAGATTTAGGGGGAAAAAAATGGTTTCCTGGGCCAGGCCCAGGGTTCCTCTGCTGTGTACAGTCTAGGGACCTGGTGCCTTGCATCCCAGCTGCTCCAGCTATGACTAAAAGGGGCTAAGGTATAGCTCAGGGTATTGCTTCAGAGAGTGGAAGCCCCAAGCCTTGGCAGCTTACACATGGTATTGAGCATGAGAGTGCACAGAAGTCAAGAACTGAGGTATGGGAATCTCTGCCTTGACTTCAGAGGATGTATGGAAATGCCTGGATGTCCAGGCAGAAGTTTGCTGCAGGGATGGGGGCCCTCGTGGAGAACCTCTGCTGGGGCAGTGCAAAGGGAAAATATGGGGTTAGAGAACCCACAGAGTCCCTACTGGGGCACCACCTATTGGAGCTGTAATCCCCACCCTCCAGACCCCAGAATGACAGATCCACCAACAGCTTGTGCCATGAGCCTAGAAAAGCCACATTCAATGCCAGTCCATGAAGGCAGCCAGGAGGGGCACTATACCATGCAAAGCCATAGGAGTGAAGCTGTCCAAGGCCATGGGAGCCCACCTCTTGCATCAGTGTGACCTGGATGTGAGACACGGAGTCAAAGGATATCATTTTCGAGCTTTAAGATTTGACTTTCCCATTGGATTTTGGACTTGCTTGGGGCCTGTGGTGCCTTTGATTTGGCCAATTTCTCCCATTTGGAATGGCTGTATGTACCCAATGCCTGTACCCTCGCTGTATCTAGGAAGTAACTAACTTGCTTTTGATTTTACTGGCTTATAGGTAAAAGGCACTTGCCTTGTCTCAGATGAGACTTTGGACTGTGGAGTTTTTAGTTAATGTTGAAACAAGTTAAGACTCTGGGAGGCTGTTGGAAAGGCATGATTAGTTTTGAAATGTGAGGATATGAGATTTGGGAGAGACCAGGGGTGGAATTATATGATTTGGCTGTGTCATCACCCAAATCCCATCTTACATTGTAACTCCCACAATTCCCATGTGTCATGACAGGAAACTGGTGGGAGGTAATTAAAACATGGGGGCGGGTCTTTCTCATGCTGTTCTCATGATAGTGAATAACTATCATGAGATCTGATGCTTTTAAAAAGAGGAGTTCCCTTGCACAAGCTCTCTCTCTCTTTGCCTGCTGCCATCCATTATAAAACATGACTTGCTCCTCCTTGACTTCTGAAATGATTGTGAGGCCTCCCCAACCATGTGGAACTGTAACTCCATTAAGCCTCTTTCTTTTGTAAATTGCCCAGTCTTGGGTATGTCTTTATCAGCAGCATGAACATGGACTAATATAATGATGAAAATGCCCAAAGCAATTCCAACAAAAGCAAAAATTGATAAACGGGATCTAATTACACTAAAGAGCTTCTGCACAGCAAAAGAAACAATCATCAGAGAAAACAGCCTACAGAATGGGAGAAAATTATCCATTCAACAAAGGTCTAATATCCAGAGTCTACAAGGAACTTAAACAAATTTATAAGAAAAAAACAAACAACCCCATTAGATAGTGGGCAAAGGACATGAATGGACACTTCTCAAAAAAAGACATACATGCAGCCAACATATGAAAAAAACTCAACATCACCACTCATTGGAGAAACGCAAATCAAAACCACAATGAGATACCATCTCGCACTAATCGGAATGGCAATTATTAAAAAGTCAAGAAACAATAGATGCTGGTGAGGTTGCAGAGAAATGGGAATGCTTTTACACTGTTACTGGGAGTGTAAATCAGTTCAATTGCACTGCGGAAGACAGTGTGAAGATTCCTCAAAGAACTAGAGGTAGAAATACCATTTGACCCAGCAATTCCATTACTGGGTATATGCCCAAAGGAATACAAATCATTCCATTATAAAGATATATGCACACATATGTTCACTGCAACACTATTCACAATAGCAAAGACATGGAATCACCCCAAATGCCCATCAACAATAGACTGGATAAAGAAACTGGTACATATACACCACAGACTACTATACAGCCATAAAAAGGAATGAGATCATGTACTTTGTTGGGACATGGATGGAGCTGGAAGCCATCATCCTCAGAAAACAAAATCCGCAGAAACAGAAAACCAAACACCACATGTTCTCACTTGTAAGTGGGAGGTGAACTATGAGAACACATGGACCCAGGGAGGGGAACAACACATACCAGGGCCTGTTGGGGCAGGAAGAGGGAAAACATCAGGAAAAACAGCTAATGCATGCTAGACTTAACACTTTGGTGATGGGTTGATAGGTGCAGCAAACCACCATGGCACATGTTTACATAACAAACCTGCACATTCTGCACATGTGACTCAGAACTTAAAATACAATAAAATAAGAAGATGGAAAAAAAGGAAAAATTATTTGTCATCCTTAATGGATGCCAAATGATGTGACCTCTTTGAGACAAGGCACTACAGTCTATGGTATAGAGACAATATAAATTGACATTGAAAAATACATGATTATGATATATAAGAGTGATGGATGGAGGAGTAAAGAATTTCAGGGGCCAGGTGCAGTGATTCACACCTGTAATCCCAGTACTTTGGGAGGCTAAGGTGGGTGGATCACAAGGTCAGCAGATCAAGACCATCCCGGCCAACATGGTGAAACCCCATCTCTACTAAAATATAAAAAATTAGCCAGGTGTGGTGGTGCACACCTGTAGTCCGAGCTACTCAGGAAGCTGAGGCAGGGAAATTGCTTGAACCCAGGAGGCAGAGGTTGCAGTGAGCTGAGATCGTGCCACTGCACTCCAGCCTGGCGACAGAGCAAGACTTTATCTCAAAAAAAAAAAAAGAATTTCAGAAAAACAAAAGTCCAGCAGTAGCAGAATTAAAATCCACATTTGCACTTCAGGCCATCAGTGATATGGAAGATAAGTTTCATGTTTTCTCATAAAGAAAAAAACAGGAATGAAGAACAGAAAAGTGGGTTTCAATTTAAAAATTATAGCTTTTCCTGAAAAAAAACACTGAACAATTAACAGAAGCAAATAACAAAGATACAATTCAAGGACCTCTTCCTCATTTGAAAAATACCTGAGCATTGCATAACAATATGAACATACTTAACACTACTGAACTGTACATTTAAAATGGTTAAAGATGGCAAATTTTATGTGCATTTCACCACAATAAATAAAAACCTGAGCACAAAGATTGAAAGTTCTCATATAATAACTAAAACATCAATTTTTAAAGGATCCATAAATCCAGAAAATCCTAGAAAATAAAACATTTGAAATAGAATAAAGCAAAAGATTCATATAATTGCATATACAGAAAAAAATATCAAGTTAACCGCAAGAGAACAGAAACTGCCATGATTCCTCTATGTAAAACATTAAATGCCAGAAGGCAATGGAAACAATCTTAGTTTGATTTGATGAATGAAGACAATAATATTCTATCAATATTATGCCCACTTTTAAGAGTCCCGTATGTGAGAAGTTTACACGTAGGTCTTCTCAAACATGCAAGGCAAAGAAAATGAACCACCCTGATAACCATTTAAAAAAAATAAGAAACCTTATTAGAAGATGCACTCCTCTTTAGAGACAGGTAAAAATGAAGAACTCAAGAATGGGGAAATTTTGGTCTTAAAAATGATGTATGACTGTTCTGTAAGATCAGCCAACTCATCAAAAGAATTCTAGAAGAATCCTAACTTCAGAAAACAGTATCTGATTTACCTGGGCATGCTAATCACTACACAAAAATAGAAAGAACAGGCATTACTAACAATGCTGGATAAAGACAAGAATCAAATTACGTAATCATGAACTTTAACTCCGTCATTGAGAGACTGGCTACAAAATTTTTATCTGGGCAACATACATCAGGAAACGTTTACAACCATATTTTGAAGTTCAGTTACATACCATGTTATCAGTGTTTAAAAACCAAATACACACCCACGCCTAGAAAACTGACTGAAAAAAAAATGATAATGTGAATGTCTTTGGGAGTGAAACAGGGGCACTTTTTCTTATTTCAACATTCTACATTTCCCAAGTATTCCTAAGTTTGAGTTACTTTTTTACGAAACACTTAAACTTTTTTGTTACAAAATCATAAAAATAAATCTTTCTTTTCTTTCTAAATTGTAGAAAGGAATCTATCAATTGCCTAGAGCTTTTTAAATTCATAACCAGCACTTAACTACTATAGGACACTGCATTTCACACCTGAAAATAGTAATCCTGAGTGATTTTCGGTGCTCATCAAGCCACAAATTCCATGTCTGATAGTAGAAACAAACCAAACTGTTATTCTCCCTAGCTACCCCCAATTCTGTACTATTCAAGACATTGCAAAACATTAAAGGACTGATGAAACTCAAAGGTGATTGCCGCAGACTTCTAAAAGAACAGCAGAGGTGACGAGAGCCAGGCCAGTGATGAAGACTGAACTCAGGCAGGGTCCAGCACGGTACCTTTGCCTTGGCATCCTCTGGGTCATCTCCCTTGGAAGCCAGCAGCATGAGTCGCAGGACTAGGGTTATGCTGAGAGGGAACTGTCCTCTCAGCTCAGGAACATTGGATTTTATGAGTTTTCCTATTTTGGGGAATGGAATATCAAAGAAATATACATCTCCCATCAGGTCTTGACCTCTCCTTCCAGCACGGCCAGACATCTGAAAAGAGAACAGAATTACAATGTATAACTTCCCTAAATGCTTCTACTGCCATAGTGTAAGAATGAGCCCTTTACTCTGGTTTGGAGTTTGGAAATTGTGCATATATCTAACCATTAAGGAACGGACACTAACATGCAACTACATGGTGCTTAGGAAATTTGCCATGACTGAGATAGATCTAAAAACTGAGACATTTGTCATCGTTATGTAAATATTTCAAGCCATTAATTGCAGTAGGCATTTGTATAATATATCCCAAAGAAATAATGATCTACTGAAGAAACAAAGAACACCGGCAAAACAGTGATGTCAAAATCACTTACAGCTGAACTCTAATGTACCCATTTTCTCTCCCTGCCCATCTTCCCCATCTCTCATCCCTTTTCTGCCCTCTCTGACGCACAAGTGTGTTGAGTTACAAATCACAAAATAAAATATGTGCACAACCAGAATAAATACATGAGTGAAATAAAATTCAGAAATGCTACTTGTGAAAAAGCAAGTTATGAATAAAATCTTTACAGAGGTTATATTAACTCTTACTGATTAGGTGCTTAGACTGTGCTAAGGCACTGGGAATATCTGTGCCCATACTGAAACAACCACAAAGTGGAAGATCCACAATTCAGACCCTGACATTTCCATTCCTAAGTCCATCATCCCAAATATCAAACACCCTAGCTCCAGAGCCCAAAGTAGAAGATTCCCAAAAATGCATTAGAAGAATTCATTCAGAGTACAGCAGCAGCAATAGAACTAAAAAAGAGGGGTTGGTAACATGCTGGAAATTATATAAGGATGTTATATGGGGTAGGAACAAGGCCTAGAAGGAGAGCAAAAAGTGTTTAGAGATAAAGGGGGTAAGCACGTTGATAAAAACCTGAATGTGGGTGACATATCTAAATTTGAATCTGCTAGCAGAAATAGTTATCAAATGTCTCTGAGCAGGGAAATCATATGAAGATAAACCACATTATCTGCAGGATGTGGTAGAATAAACAGCATGGAGAATCAGAGAAATTGTACTAATAATACAAGGCTAAGAACGTATGAAGAAAGATGGTGGACACAGAAATTGCAAGGCAAAAATCAAATACTGCTACAGGAAAGTAATGAAGGGGGCGTGGTAATAGATGGAGTGTCAGGAGTAAAGCTGAGGGAAGCATTAAAGATAATTCTAGAGTGCAAAATCTTGTGCACAGCAAATGATTGAGTAAAACTTTATCAAGCACCTCTGATGTCTATTTTCCATGCAAATCACTTATTTAATTCTTGCAAATGCTGTGGGAGAGTAATTATTACCCACATTTTGGAGATAGAAAATGAGAATCGGGCAGTTTAGATATCTCATCCAAGGTCACACATCTGGTTAATTACACAATCCCAAATGCAGGTGTTTTCAACTATACCACAACTAAAACTGAAACCCAGGCAAGGATGAATGCCCAGTTAGGCTACTGTGAATTGTGGTATGTTTGTAAACTAAAGGTTCACTTTTTTTACTATACTATGGTCATATTTCAGCAATACAATAAGCAAGTTTATGCATTTTGAAATACCTGTCTATAATTCAAGGCATCCAGATAGACTGAGTTTTGAGCAAAAACCACAGACTTACAAGGCATGTTGATACCTAAAGCAAGTGTTCCAGTAGCTGTCACCACCTTGAAAGAGAATAAAACAATTACTTTATAAAATAGCATTTTAATAGAATGCAAGTATTTCCTGTCATAAAGTTGCTGAAAAACTCTTTGAACTTCAATGAAGCCACAATGGGAAAGCTAGAGAAACTAGACACATTGGTATTCTTGCTATTTCACAAACACCACAAGTATTCCCAAATGTGCTGTTTGCTTTGCACAGAATATTCTTCTCCAAATATTCATTTGTCTGGCTTCTTCAGCTGTCCGCTCAAATGTCATAGAGGAATCTGTAGCCCACCACATCCAAAATAACCACCCCTACCATCATTATCTATCTCTGTCTCACGTGATTTATCTTCATAGCATTAATGACTACCTCAATAACATTACTTGTTTGTTCACTTGTCTTATACCAGACTCCAAGCAAGATTCATTATTGTATCTGCAGCACCCATAAGAGTACCTGGCAACTGATAGGTGTTCAGTAATTTTTTTTTTTTTTTTTTTTTT